AATTTGAATGTTTGTAGTATCAGGCTGCAACATAACAAAATTGAAAAAAATGAAGGGGGTCTGAATACTTTCCAAATGCACTGTACGTTCTAATCAAACAAAAATACTGATTTAAAGAAATAAAATATTAAGAAATATTTTATAATCCCTTTTATTATTTTAGGTAGTTTTTTTTGGTAAAATAGACACATAACAAAAAACAGTTTTCTTCTGATTTTTTTACAATTTTATACTAGATCTTAACTTTGTAGACCTGAATAACATGTAACACTTTCCATCCTTGCAGTTCTACCATGATTCTAATTATGAGTTTCTCATATAAAAACTGTATTAAACCAAATGCTAATTTAATTATGAGTTTTTAAAATAAAAACTATATTAAACCAAATGCTATCTCAGTTTGCAGTCCTGTGATCCCTCTTTAGCCTTCTTGTGATGTTTTGAAGGATTTGCAATATTGGTTTGGCATTGATCTGCTTCAGGTGTATCAGTCAAATACTGGGACTGGATTGGAGGCTGATGAACTGTACCCTCTCCTTGCATTTTCTGATTACTCCTTCCATATTTGATCTGAATAAATTACAGTTTTTGCTATAAGGGCCAAATTAGGTGAACAGTGGCAGTCTCTAAATCAGAATAGAAAGCCACCATTTATATTTGATTACCAGTCCTGGTTTGGATGTAAACTAGTTGTCTAAGCCATAGTTTTTCCATTTTAGATTTCATGAAAAAATTTAGATGGTAAGTGCAGCAAATTGGAGTGCATAGAGGGAAGAAGGTACATATAAATGGACCCCAAATCCTTCACAAGGGCTAGATCTTTTCATAGTAGCCAAATAAATACCTTGTTTATATGTCTTGAACTAGGCTATTATATCAGCCGATATAATGGGGCGAGATGGTTCCTCAGATAACTTGGACAGACTTAATCATAGTTTCAACTGGGAAACTATCAGCATCTTAGACCAAGCTAAATCCTAAAATGTGAGGGAGTTCCTGGAAGCTTGGTATTCAGACAAGACAGCCACCAACGGGCACATAGGGATAAACATCTACACACTATTCAAAAGAGACAACAAAAAGGAAAACAAAACACCAGAACATCTCTTCACCAGCAGTCATCACCCAGATAAGCAGAGATTAACACCAAGATTATCACCAGACATACA